AGGAACATCTGAGGCAAAATGCGAAACCATGAGGGAATACGGAGCCCCTCCCCAACGAAAAGGGTTCCTTCTTCAGCGCCTCCACTGTAGGATATGAGTGCGGTGCGCAGTCACGACACTCACCGCCCACCAAACCACCCCAACCCAACCCGAAGGCCCCGATTTGACCTCCATTTCCAGTGGGGGGGGGGTTGGGGAACATTGAGAAAACATGTGTGAAGCCCATGTCCCCCCCAAATCGAAATTCGGGTCTTCGGGTTGGGTTTAGGTGGTCTGGAAGGTAGTCGAACACGGACGTCACGGCACCAGCACAGTTTTCGCAGGTTTGTGGTCCAGACAGGGGTGGTCTTACCGAAGACGCCTACGGCGAACCGCCGGCCCCTGCCTTTGGGAAACATCCATGCGGCTAAACGTGGGGCCAAAGTTTGTCCAAGCTATTGGATTATGTCCCCCCCCCCCCGGCTGTTGCAGAACCCCTTGGCAGAACACCTGAGAAAGACATAGAAAGGAGGATGAGAGGGAGAGGAGAGATGAGGAGGAGAAGGAGGAGGAGGAGCAGGAACAGGAGGCTCCTCGAGGCCGCGTTGCGGCTTCCTGCGAAGTTCTTGGGGGCCTCTGATGGGCCTCCTTGGGGCCTCCTGGGGCTTCCTGGGGACTCTGAGGGGCCTCTTGGCCTTCGGATGTGATGTCGGTTGCCTCTCTGGGCAGTCGTGGGTCCACCTGTGGGCTCTTCAGGGCGGTCTTGCACGTCTTTGGGGCTTGTCGGCATCTTTTGGCCGTCGGCCGCTTGGGCCGTCTTGAGGCAACCTCGGGTGCCTGGCTACGGGGCCGCCGCGTAACGCGAGGTCTGGCCTGTCCCTCTACAGGAGGAACATGCAACAATGGGCAAACATTGCCAGGAGACGATTTTTCTATTATATTTTTCCCAACCATCCTGTGGTGTTGGGTCCTCGTTTTGAAGAGACGGTGCCCCGCGTTCCTCCTCCTTCCTCCCGCTGCCCCCCCCTCCCTCCCCCTTGCCTCTGCCCTCCGCATGTCTCTGTTTCGGCACATCCCTCACGCGTTCCGTGGCCCCATAGGGAGCTCCACCGAAGGCCCCAGTGGCAGGGTCCGCATGGCGGCCCCGCATTTTGGCGCACCCCTCACACGGTTCGTGGCCCCATAGGGAGCTCCACCGAAGGCCCCAGTGGCAGGGTCCGCATGGCGGCCCCGCATTTTGGCGCACCCCTCACACGGTTCGTGGCCCCATAGGGAGCTCCACCGAAGGCCCCAGTAGCAGGGTCCGCATGGCGGCCCCGCATTTTGGCGCACCCCTCACACGGTTCGTGGCCCCATAGGGAGCTCCACCGAAGGCCCCAGTGGCAGGGTCCGCATGGCGGCCCCGCATTTTGGCCCGCCCCTCACACGGTTCGTGGCCCCATAGGGAGCTCCACGAAGGCCCCAGTGGCAGGGTCCGCATGGCGGCCCCGCATTGGGGCGCACCCCTCACACGGTTCGTGGCCCCATAGGGAGCTCCACCGAAGGCCCCAGTGGCAGGGTCCGCATGGCGGCCGCATTTTGGCGCACCCCTCACACGGTTCGTGGCCCCATAGGGAGCTCCACCGAAGGCCCCAGTGGCAGGGTCCGCATGGCGGCCCGCCCCATTTTGGCGCACCCCTCACACGGTTCGTGGCCCCATAGGGAGCTCCACCGAAGGCCCCAGTGGCAGGGTCCGCATGGCGGCCCCGCCCCATTGTGGCGTCCGCATGGCGCCCCCGCATTTTGACGCACCCCTCACACGGTTCGTGGCCCCATAGGGAGCTCCACCGAAGGCCCCAGTGGCAGGGTCCGCATGGCGGCCCCGCCCCATGTTGGCGCACCCCTCACACGGTTCGTGGCCCCATAGGGAGCTCCACCGAAGGCCCCAGTGGCGGGGTTCGCATGGCGGCCCCGCCTCATTTTGGCGCACCCCTCACACGGATCGTGGCCCCATAGGGAGCTCCACCGAAGGCCTCAGTGGCAGGGTTCGCATGGCGGCCCCGCCCCATTTTGGCGCACCCCTCACACGGTTCGTGGCCCCATAGGGAGCTCCACCGAAGATGATGCCCACAATTTCGGTATGAACAATTACTTATGGTTGGGTCTTTCGCCAGGCTAATTTTTTTTGAGTTGAGCATTTGTTGGGCGAGGATGGCGAACAGTTGTCCGCGTTGCCTTTTTCGCGGTGCGGCGGGGCCTGGGATTTTCTGTTACCAAACCATCCTGTTGTGCTGGGTCCTTGCTTTTTTTTTTTTTTTTTTTTTTTTGTTTTTTTTTTTTTTTTTTTTTTTTTTTTATTTTTTTTTTTTGTTTTTTTTTTTTTTTTTTTTTTTTTTTTTTTTTTTTTTTTTTCTTTTTTTTTTTTTTTTTTTTTTTTTTTTTTTTTTTTTTTTGATTCTTTTTTTTTTTTTTTTTTTTTGAAGTGACGGTCCCCGCGTTCTTCCTCTCCTCCTCCTTTCCCCCCTCCTCCCTCTCCCGTCACCCCCCACACTTTGGCACACCCTTCACACGCCTCGTGGCCCCATAGGAAGCTCCACCTAAGGTCCCAGTGGCGGAGCTCACATGGCATCCCCCCCCCATTCGGGTACACCCCTCACACGCTTCGTGGCCCCATAGGGAGCTCCACCTAAGGTCCCAGTGGTGGAACTCGCATGGCATCCCCGCCCCATTTTGGCACACCCTCACACGTTTCGTGGCCCCAAAGGGAGCTCCACCTAAGGTCCCAGTGGCGGAGCTCGCATGGCGGCCTCGAGCGATTTCGGCACACCCCTCACATGTTTCGTGGCCCCATAGGGAGCTCCACCTAAGGTCCCAGTGGCGGAACTCGCATGGCGGCCTCGGGCCATTTCGGCACACCACTCACGAGGATCGTGGCCCCATGGGAGCTCCACCGAAGGCCCCAGTGTCAGGGTTCGCATGGCGGCCTCGGGCGATTTCGGCACACCCCTCACGAGACTCGTGGCCGAGCTCCACTGGAGGCGCCAGTGGCGGAACTCGCATGGCGGCCTCGGGACACTTCGGCACGCCCCTCACGAGGATCGTGGCCCCATAGGGAGCTCCACCGAAGGCGCCAGTGGCAAAGTTCGCATGGCGGCCTCGGGAAATTACGGCACACCCCTGACGAAGATCGTGGCCCCATAGGGGGCTCCACCGAAGGCGCCAGTAGCAGGGTTCGCATGGCGGCCTCGGGCCATTTCGGCACGCCCCATCACGAGGATCGTGGCCCCATAGGGAGCTCCACCGAAGGCCCCAGCGGCAGGGTTCGAATAGTGGCCTCGGGCCATTTCGGCAAACTCCTCACGAGGATCGTGGCCCCGTACGGGCTCCACCGAAGGCGCCAGTCAGAGCCCTCTGCTGCTTCTGCTCCTCGGTCAGGGGTGCGCAGTCCTCGTCGTCGTCGGCGCCCGCGAAGATGGCCGCGAACGTGTCCCTGAGCATGTCGGGCTCCGGCGGGAAGCGGTGGCCACATAATTAGGGGGCGTGGGCGAAGATGGTATTCACAGTTGCGGTATTCACAACTGCGTATGGTGGGGTCTTTCGCCAGGCTAATTTTCTATTTGGGCTCACTGAGTCTACCAGCTTTGGCGTGGCACCAACGCCAGGTGCCGCCAACATCTCTTTCTAGCCCCACGCTGTCGCAGCCCCGGCACATTCGGCCTGACCGTTGTGCAAGCAGCGCTCCAAGGAAGGACGAGGCTTCGGCGCATGCTGAATTTCCATATGTTTTACAAAGACGTCTGGACATGCTGCTCTTTTCTGGTCATAGCACCGTTGCCTGCGTGAGTGGCACGCGAGGTCCTTCGCCCGATAAAGCATTACTCGGCATCTCCATCGCGCCGTGTTTCCTGTGTACCAGTGAGGCAACCCAGCGTTTTGCATATGCCCGCCAGCGTGAGCCCCAAGCAGCGAGTTGTTGAAGTGTGGATGTGCAACATGTGGGGTGCAACCCATGTGGTGCAGGTAAGGCGGTGCAAGCCATGTGCAGCATTCCAGACATGGCCTTGCCTTCGAGGGTCGAAGGAATTGCCACTTATTCCGCCGCGGAAGGCGGCGGAAGGTCGGCGGGAGTAAAGCGCGGCAATTCCCGCCGGCGGAAGCCGGCGCAAGTGAAAGATGCGCCCCCAAGTGGTGAAAACGTTGTTGGGTTCAGGGTTCCCGAAGTCGCCCACGTGGTGATTGTTATGCGATGCGAGTTTAGTGGTGTAAGCGTAAGCTATGCGGTGTATGAGTGCTAAGTGGTGCGAGACCTGTGGGCGCCCACGAGGCGACCGGGAGCGGCCGCCCACGCCGCGCCAACGTGCGGGCGCCAGGCTTAAGTCGGCCCTGTCCTTCCACAGGAAAATATTCAAAATTGGCAACAAATAGTCATGGAACGATTTTTCTATCATTTGGTTAATTTTTGTTGTTGCATTTTCTGATTATGTTTATTTCATCGCTTCGCTCATTCCGCCGGCCCTTGGAGCGCTATTTGGGGCCTCTTGGGGCCGTCTTGGGGGCTTCTTGGGGGCTTCTTGGGAGCGTCTTGGGGCTCCTTGGCGGCGTATTGGGCTCCCCTGGGGCCTCTTGGGGGGCTCTTGGGGGCCCCTTGGGGCGGGAGGGGGGGTAGTCGATTGCAGCCCCCCCCCTCGGAGGCCTCGTGAGGGGTGGCGAAAAATAGCCTCCCCCCTGGGGAACGCCCGCGACCCGGCCGGGGGTCCCCACGGACGGGAACCGACCAGGCACCAGGCGACGCTACAGCCGTTCAACATTTTTATGTCGAAGTAAGAACCCCCAGAGTGCACGCACCGCGAGGGAATATTCCATGTCAACTATCGGCCATCGGTTCTTCTTAGTTTAGACGACCTGGTTCACGGTCATTGTGTGAGCCTGCATGCTCCCCTGAATGCTCCGCCCGTCGTATTCATGTGTACATTCTTGCTCGAGCGTTGCCGATCAAGCGATTCTGTATTGACGTCAGCGTGCTTTGCCCCGGAGTGAAATAGATGGCCGCTGTCTCACAGAAGTGGAAAGATAGCGTCGGCAAGGAGATCATAGAGATGGGCGCGTACGTCTTTGTGTGGGCAATCGGGGTCTACTGCTGCATTCGGCTCATGAGAGACTACGAGTTTATCTTGAAGCCACTATTCTTGGCCGCGGTGTTCGTTTCCGTCCTGGAATCAGGCGTCGAAATGTGCGAGGCTATCCTGGTTCGCTCCGCCAGGAGGCTCTGGATGCTGTTGCTGGTCATAGTTATCCAGCCTGTCAGAGACTTGTTCTCCAAAGTCTGCGGCTATTATCCAGCTGCCTGTGGGAAACCCCGCCGTGCCTGTGCAACAGCGTAGAAGGAATGACTCCGAGTGTAGGAACAGCGCAATTTCGACGAGTGGTCTGAAGTGGGACGGGTCGTGAAATCGACCTCGTCTTCGTCCACGCGGGAGGAAGGTTGTCGAGTTCACGCCCTGTGGTAAGCCGGCGATTTGTATACATAGGGGAGGGTCGTGATCTCGACCTCGTCTTTGTCCGCGCTGTAGGGAGGAGGCGGAGAAGCGCGGGGAGGAGGAGGAGGAGGAGGAGGAGGAGGAGGAGGAGGAGGAGGAGTTGGATGAGGAGAAGGAGGAGGAGGAGGAGGAGGAGGAGGAGGAGGAGGAACAGGACCAGGAGGATAAGGCTTCTCGGGGCTCTCTTGGGGTCTCCTGGGAGCCTCCTGCGGGCCTCTTAGGGCCTCTTTAGGGCCTCTTGGGAGCCTCGTCGGGCCTCGTGGGGCCTCCTGGAGGCATCTTGCATCTTGAGGTTTCTTGGGCCACCTTAGGGGACTCCCGGCCCGTCTGATACCTTCGGAGGCCATTTTTGGGGCGAGCCGTCTTGTGGCTGTCTTTGGGGCATCCTCAGCCGTCTTGGGCCATCTTGAGCCGTTGTGTTGCGACTAGGCTGTCTTGGATGCCGTGTTTGATGCCATGTTGGCCGTCTGGATGCCGAAGCGAGCACCGCGATGCTTAAGGGACGCGCCGGACGAGAGGGGGGAGTCGGCCCTACAAAAAACTGCCCAGGCATCAGACGAGCATTAGAAGTAACACTGCAACTCCGTGCGGGCACGGTGGCGGATGTGGATAGGAGTGCCTATGTGAGATGCGCGGAGGTCCTCCGCTGCCAGGAGAAGAAAGGCTTGATCGTATTACCAAGCTGCAAGGACCGCATTAAGGGCTGGTTTGATTCGGCCTGTTGGTTGCTGGCTCTTGTCATCACTCTCCTGATCATCACCGTCCTGGTTTGGCTGGCGTGGGTGTACGCAGGCAACGAATTCCAAGAATTTCACAATCGTGGCAGGACCCAGGCGTACATAAAGGCAGGCAAGTCCCTGACCACAAGCCTCGTACTAGAGGTTCAGGACCTACCTACTCACATCCCGATTCAATCTGTGAACAATACCGAGACCGTAGAATGGTGGCGGTCGACTGTCCACAATTATACTGCAGACATCACTGAGCATGGTGCGGAATTTGCAGGGTATCTCGAGGGCGCGATAACTTCTACGTTTTCGGGGGGCTGGGAGTACACGGTGAATTTCGTCACGCAGTTTGTTTTCTTCTTGCTGTACTCGCTGTTCTGGCTGTTCGACCCCCTGGCAATCATGCTGGGACCGTCGAGACAGCCGCGCAAGCCAGGGCTGGAGCTCCTGGAGCTTCTGAAGCCTGCGGAGGCTGCGTCGGGGGATGCCTCTGGACCTGCCTCTCGCCCCGCGGATGCCGCCGCGGAGGGGGCCTCGCGGCCCTCGCCGGCCCAGGCGGGGGATGCCGAAGTCGGCTGCTGCCCCTCCTGGCTCGCGGGCGGGAGTAGCCCCCTGAGGGAGCCGTTCCTTGGCTCCTCGTGCCCGGGCGGCGAGGAGGCGGAGGAGGACCGGCGATCACTATGAGTGTTCCGCCGGGGGGTGATTTGCGATCTGCGCCGTTGGGGCTCAGGGGCCGCCACGGTGCGCCAAAGGTCTGGCGAGGCCTCGTGGGGGCGCCACTGGGATCTCTGTCGGGGTCCTCGCCCGCCCCATCCCCAGTCGCGGGTTGCAAACCTCACCCCTGTGAACCACACCCTTCGGAGCCGCCGAGAGGAGGACCACGAGATCGGGGTTGGCTCCACCGTGAAGGTGCGCAGGGGCCACGAGCTCAGGGCCTTCAGGGACGAGGAGGGCACGCCAGAGGAGAAGCTCGAGGAGGGACGAGGAGGATCTGCGGGAAGCTTAGTTGCCTCGATACGCGCGTTTTGAAACGCAGCACGTCCCGTGTTCAAGACGTCCGTGTCAATGCGTTGCGTGTTGGTCCCACGTAGTGGACCACGTTGTGGCGGATGTACCGCGTCGGGCTTACGTTTTCGGCCTGCGTGTTGAGTTCCGTCTCGATGCGTCACGTGTTTGCGTGTTGCGCATCGGGGCAGCTAGGGCGGGAAGCAGAAGGGGGCGTGCAGACGGGCGGCTGGCCCTCTGAAGAGGGCAGGGCTCCTCTTCGGAGGGAGCGGCCCCGCCGGCTTACGGCGGGGAGCTCTTGGACAGCGCATCGACCTGGCGGTCCTGGCCCACCACGCCCCTGGCGCGGCGCGCCATCCCCTGCGCGGTCCTGGGGCCTCCACGTGCCGAGCGCTGCCGAGCCGCCCCCCGCGAAGCGGAGCGACCCGCCATCCGCCTGCAGGGCACGGCGTGTCGCCGGGGCAGCAGTGCATCAGGAGGGAAAGAAACACACAGACACAATTAATCGTCGATTCCCCAGAAAATATGAGGAAATATGGGAAGTGGTGGGGAAGACAGAATCCGAGAAACTATGGGAAAATGTGGGGGATCTTTTTGTTTGTGTGTATTTATTTGTGTGTCCTGGGGCCCCTTCAGTGCCGTCGGCCCAGATGGGCAGGTCGACCCTGCCAGATCTTGAGGGTACCCTCGTGTCCTGTGTCTTGTGGCCCGTGCCCCTGCATTATATTTCTGTGGCACCGTGGCCCCCGGAAGGGTCCTGCGTCCTCTCGCGTGTCCTCTCCAAGCAAGTCCGACTGCAACGACACGCTGAGCACAAGATCTCCACCCCAGAAGACCGCACGCCCCTGGCCCGACCGCGCTCTGCGCGCCGCCGGAGAGGAGTTGTGGAGAAGATCGACGAAGACGGCCATGCCCTCGTCGCGTTCGATCCTAAGAGGGGCGGCCCCTGGCACAAGAAGCTGCTGACCAGTGAAACCGCTGTCAAGCATTGGGTGCCCAGGCACGAGCTGCAAAACAAGCTGCGGGCTGTTACGCCCCGGCCCAACGCCGCGGACACCGTGAAGATTATACAGAAATACTTCAAGCTGAAGACATACATTAATTTCTTCATCGGCGTGGCGTACTGGCTCTTGTTTCGACGCCTGCACGTAGACCTGAGGTTTGTCCTTGTGTTGATGGCATTCTTCCTAGGCTTCATCCCAGAGCTCGGCTTCATCGCGCAGTTCGTTGTGTCGTTGCCCGTGGTTGTCTTCTCGCCAGTGGACTCAAATGGAGTTCTGGACGGCAGCACAGCCCTCTGGAACCTTAAGTGTTTTATTATGGGAAGTTTTGCCATCAAGCTGGTGATCAACAACGTCATCGAGACCATCGTGATGAAGTCGGACAAGGTCCTGAACCAGGGCGGGCAGGAGGTGCATGCCGTCCTGATCCTCTTTCTGCTTGCGCTGGGCGGCGAGGTCTGGGGCTGCGTCGGCATGCTGCTGGCGGTCCCGGGCATCTCCCTCGGCCGCTTGGTGATGCGGCTCGCCGACGACACCATTCGGGCGGGTGGTGGTGAGGGGTGACCAAATTTTGGGGGGGGAGGGAACAGGGCTCCAAGGGGGGTCTGGTGGGGCCCTGTTGGGCACCCGCTGGCTCCAAGAGGGGCCATACACCCTAGGCGATGCTTAAGAAAACTTAAGTTTTTGGCGAGAGTCTCGATTATTCTTAATGTTTCAATGTAAATCCTAAGATTTTGATAGAAGTTCTGGGTTTCTATTCAAATTCTGAGACTCTGAGTTTCTTAACCCATGATTTCTTAAGCATTTCGCAGGGTGTAGAGGGCCCCCTTCAGGGCCCTTTTCTTCTCCGCCCCCCATTTCAGGTCACCCCCCGTTGCCACCCGCCCGAGCCATCCGTCGGAGGAGGCACCTGGAGTAGGCCCGACGGGGGGCCAGGAGGGAACCCGCCTGGCCCGGGGCTGGCGCGGAGAGAGCACGCGCTGGGTCGGGGGCGGGGCGCCACCCCAGCGGAGCGGCTGGTCGCCTGGCTCGCCGCTAGGCCCAGCAAACAATGCTCTAAGAGCCTTTCGTGGTCTGCACGAAATGCTCTCATAACATTTCTGGCCAAGTTTGTCTCCGGTTTAAACGCAACGGTATTATGGTCTGAGCACATTGTTTTTGTTCTTGGGGCGTGTTTGGTGCTAAGATCACGTCGTGGTAGGCCTATGGGAATGCTGGGGCGGTCAGTCCCTGCTCAAGCGTTCGGGGCGACCGACATGGGTACGGCCAGAATGGGTACAATGCCCAACAGCAGTTCCTGCTCATTTTGAACAGGACTCGCTGTCCGTGCCGCCGCGGCCTGTGTCTATTCGAGACAGAAGGCCGCCCGCCCAACAGCGGCCGCTGTTGGTTTGGGACAACATTCGGTGTTGGGCACCGTACCCCTTTTTTCCGCACCCGCTTCGGGCGTCCAGGAGCGTGCTCAGGCCCCGCCGCCGCTGGCCGGGCGTGCTCATCACCACCCTCTCGCCGAGCCCGCCAGGCTCGGGCCGTGGCGCCTCAGAGGCTGGCCGCGGGCCCCCGCTGCAGCCCGAGCCCGCCGCCGGGCCGGGGGCCGCCCCATGCTGCCGCAGCCGGCCAGGGGCCTCCGCGGGGGGGGCCCCTCCCCGTGCCGGGGGGTGGGCAGGCCTCCTGCCCCGACGCGTCGATGAAGGAGGGTGGCCGCGTTCGCTCCGCGATGGGGGCGTCGCGGCCGTCGGGGGGTGGGCAGGCCTCCTGCCCCGACGCGTCGATGAAGGAGTTGGCCGCGTTCGCTCCGCGAGGGGGCGCCGCGGCCGTCGTTTTTTGCGGGTCCGGGTGCGTCGGCTTCGGCCCCAGGCCGTTTTCGCTGAGGGGAGGTCTGCGGAAGGGAGGCCTGTCCACCGCCGCCGATCGTGACGCCTGGGCAGCGAGCCGAGCTCGGGCGCACCACAGAGCGCTCGAGGGGGGCTGCCGCTCCAGGGGGTCGGCCTCGGGGGGCGTCTCTCACAGCGCGCCCGCCCGAGGGAGCAGCAGGGCCGAGGAGCACTCTGGCAGCCGTGTGCAGCTGTGACGCTGCGTGCAAAAGACCGCACACCATGGTACATTCGGATGCAGCTCCTGGGAGGTCAAACTCTGTTTTTGCCCTGGTCCGAAATCCGGTTTAATCCAGCTTAATCCCGCTTGATCCGGTTAATCCCGTTTAATCCCGTTCAATCTTGCTTAATCCGAGGCCCACTCCAGCGTAACAGCCCCCCAATGGGGCTTGATTATCCTCCCAGTAGTTGCCTCCTGGGGTACATCGGCGCACTCTCGTCACGGGTGAAGCTTTCCCACACGCTGCATCGGGCCGGTCGATCGGCTGAAAGCGATGTGGCCGTCTGGTCCCAGGCCTGTCGCGTCAGGGCCTGATGTGTTCGCAGCGTGTTCCACACATGGCATGTCTTCGAAGGGCGGCATCAAGCCCCGCCGCCACCACTGCGCCTCCCCTCTTTCACCCGACGTCGCTGGAGCAGCACGGCGTCCGGCACCGCTCGCGACCAGAGTCCTCGATCCCATCTTTAGGATGCCCCGCTCGCCGGATCGATCTGTGAGGGTCCACAGGGCCCGAGGTGGGGAAGAGACGCCCGTCGTGAGTGTTCGGCGGCGCCCAGTTGCGAGGGCCGACCTCGCGAGGCTCCGCTCAGAGCTGGCCTACGAGCACCATCTCGACCCGTCGCGCTCAGCCGCGGCGACGAGGGTGGCGCCCGAGAGCCCCAGGAGCAAGCAAGAGGAGGGCTGGGTGAGAGGGAAGAGCGCCGCATCCACTGAGCTTCTCCGACCCCTCCACGTCTGGCGTCGCCTCGGCGCTGCGCAGAAAGGGGGGGTAGCGCGAGGTGGGAGGCGGCCATCTGAGAGAGCAGGGGGCTTCTTCGAAGCCCTCCTGTTTTGCAGGAGGCCTACCTTGAAGCCTCTGATCCCTTCCGAGAAGCTTCCCACCTTCTCAAAAGAGCCCCCCCAACTCGCCGCGACTCGGACCAAGACCTGTTGCAAATCGAACCCAAGAACCCCTTCTGGGGGTCATCCTGGCTGGTTTGCCGAGCTACGTTCAGCCGTGACGACGATGGAGGGGTCTGACGGAAATAGCATGACGTGGAGGAAGAGGAAAAGGACGTCTCGAGGTGTTGAATGGCTTCTTGAGGTCCCCAAACTGTTTCGGAACGCTCAACAGGCTCGATCCACTATTCTTCTCCTCCCACCCGAAGATACTCCGTCTCCTCCTGGATCGTATGTGGTTGCGACGTGAGCAGCGCCATGAGCTCAAGTACCACGCTCATCGCGTGCAGGGAGGGCAGCGTGCCAAACACGGCCGCGGCGTTCTGTGGCTGACACGCTCGGTGGGCGGACTCCGTAGCACCATACGCTTCCCACGTGGGTATCCGGGTCCTGGCCCACAGCCCAGATAAAATCAGAGGTCCTTTTTCTTCCTTCCCTTTCACCTCGTCGATGCTATTTCTCCTCCTCCTCCTCCTCCTGCTCCTCCTTCTTACCCGTCGGCCCTCTCATCCTCGATCCTCCTCGATCCTCCTCGATCCTCCTCGATCCTCCTCGATCCTCCTCATCCCCCCCCCCCGTCCTACTCTTCCGCCTCTCCTCCTCCTCCTCCTCCTCCTCCTCCTCCTCCTCCTCCTCCTCCTCCTCCTCCTCCTCTTCCTCCTCGCTCCCCGCTCTCCCCCGCCCACTCCCTGACCCTCCTCGCCGACCTCCCCCGCGCCGCCTCGCCCCCTCGAGGAGACCACGGGGTCGGCACCGCTGCCGCACATGAGGCCCCGCGCGGTGCGGCCCTTGAGGAGAAGGGAGGAGGAGTGAGGCGGAAAGAATGGGAGACGAAGTGAGGAGGAAAGGATGAGTGAGGAGGAAAGGATGAGTGAGGAGGAGGAGGAGGAGGAGGAGGAGGAGGAGGAGGAGGAGGAGGAGGAGGAGGAGGAGGAGGAGGAGGGAGGAGGAGGAGGAGGAGAGGAGGAGGAGGAGGAGGAGGAGGAGGGGGAAGGAGAGGCGAGGAGGAGGAGGAGGAGAGGTAGGAGGAGGAGGAGGAGGGAGGAGGAGGAGGAGGAGGAGGAGGAGGAGAAGGAGGAGGGATGGAGGAGGAGGGAGGATGAGGAGGAGGAGGTGGAGGAGGGAGGAGGTGGAGGAGGTGGAGGAGGAGGAGGAGGAGGAGGAGGAGGGGGATGGAGGCGGAGGAGGAGAAGGAGGGTAGGAGGAGGGCTTTGAGCGATCGGGAGGGGGCTTTTCGACAATAGGCGGAAGGGGAGGGGAGGGGACGTTTTGGCTCAAGCCATTCTGACTCATGGTATGCTTGGCTCACCCCGCGGTGCCTTGTCTGTTCGGATACTGGACATCGGTCGAGGGTCTCGAGAAGGTGCTATTTCTCTCGAAGCGTCGATCAAAAACTGCGGTCGGACAAGACAATGGAGCGAAGCACTGCGGTTTCTCCGCGAAGGAATTCGATTCGGTGGGCAACTCGTTCCAAGCCACTACATTGCGACTGCTAGCGCATGCAGAAAAGGAGGGCAATGGCAACACGCGCTGTCAGTACTCAGTGAGATGTGGGAGGCGAAGCTGAAGCCCAACGTCATTTCTCTTAGAATGGCTGCCCCAGCGCTCGCGGACGGGGAGAGCGGTGGCAGCGGACCGGCCCCCTCTGGCGGCCCCTGCGAGCCCCAGCAGGCCCCGGCGCGCTCCCCCCCATGAAGCCCCCAAGAGGGCCCCCAGACGGCCGAAGACAGTCCAAGAGGGTCTCCGAGACGCGCCCAGAGCGCTCGACAACGCCTCCGACAGCCTCCAGACGGCCCAAGAGGCTTCCAAAACGCTCGAAGTGGGCTGCCCTCTTCATATCGTCCAAGACGGCCATACAGGGTCCCAAGGTGGCCCCAGGACGGCTAATGAGGCGCCCAAGGCGGCCCATGGGGTAGCCCAGGACGGCCCAAGACGGCCCCCAGACGGTCCCCAGATTGTTCCAGAGACGCCCAAGGCGGCCCCAGACAACCCCCAGACGGCCCTGGACGGCCCAAACACGGCTCAAGATGCACCCGGGACAGCCCAAGAGGGCCCCAGGAGGCTTCCAGGAGGCCGAATAGAAGCGCTGAGAGGTTCCTAAACGAGACGGCCCGAAGACGGTCTCCAAACGGCTCCAAAGGCACTATAGGGCTCCTCGGCCCTCCTGACGCTTGTTTGGCGCTTCCTGCCGGACTTGGCCCAAATTCTCTCGCACTTCTTGTCGGTCTGGAGCCCTCTCCGCGGTCTCTTGGGGCCATGCCGTGTTTCGCTCTTGCAGCCCTCTCGGGGGCCTCTTGGGCCAGCATGGGGCTATTTGGAAGGCGTCTGACGCCATCTTGGTCTGTTTGGGGCCGTCTTCCCAAATAATGTATGGATGTATGGGACCAATTGGGAGGCGTTTGATGCGATCTTGAGCCGTCTTCGGCCGTTTTGGGCCAACGTCCCAAATTATGTGACAAAGACGACGACGATGATGATGATGATGATGATGATGATGATGATGATGATGATGATGATGATGATGATGATGATGGTGGTGCTGGTGCTGGTGCTGGTGCTGATGCTGATGCTGATGCTGATGCTGATGCTGATGCTGATGCTGATGCTGATGCTGCTGCTGTTGCTGATGTGGTTGCTGATGATGATGCTAATTATGGTGATGACGATAATGATGATTATACTGATGATGATAGTGACGAACACGACGACGATGACGATGATGATGATGACGATGACGACGATGAAGATGATGATGGTGGTGTGGTGGTGGTGGTGGTGATGGTGAGGACGATGATTATGATGATTCTGATGATTATGATGATGATGATGATGATGGTGGTGGTGGTGATGATGAGGACGATGATGATCATTTGATCATGATGATGATGACGATGATGATGATGATGCTGATGATGATGATGATGATGATGAACCTGACGATGATGATATGATGATGATGATGATGACGATGATGATGAAGTTTTCCAAGAGTGAACGGTTCCACGAGCCATCTCGCCCCAATTCCCGACTCCGTGCCCGGGCTCCGCATGGGGCTCTTCGGCCTCCCTGACTCTTGCTTGGCGCTCCCTGCTGGATTCGGCCCAAAACCTCTCTTACGTTTGGTCGGTCACGAGCCCTCTCCCGGGCCTCTTGGGGCCCTGTCGGGTTTCGCCCTTACAGCCCTCCTGAGGGCCTCTGGGGCCATCATGGGGCCATCATAGCCGTCTTGCACGATCTTGGAGCAACCTTGGGGCCGTCTCGGGCCGTATTTGGCCGACGCTCCACATGACGTGACGACGACGACGATGATGATGATGAGTATAATTATGATAATCATGATGATCATGCTGATGATGATGACGATGATGATGATAATGATGATGATGCTGATGATGATGGTGATAATGATGATGTTGGTGATGAGGATGATGGCGACGACGACGATGATGATGATGATGGTGCTTATGATGATGCTGATGACGATGCTGACGCTCATCACGCTGGAGATGAGACTGCGGAGGATTACAGTATGATGGTGATGCTGACGATGCTGATGATGCTTATGATGATGGTGAAGAAGAAGAAGGCTTCCAACTGTGAACAATGCCATGAGCCATGTCGCCCCAGAGTTCCTCACTCCGAGTCCGCCTCTGCATGG